TAATGTCCATTCACGTCTCAAGATGTGTGTCAGAGAGCAAAGGAGGGTTCCTATCAGCTGCTCCTAAGAAAGAAAGTAAACACTCCCAACATGCACTGAGGCACAGGGAGTGGCTCAGGTTTCTAACACTTCCCTGCTCCGGCGAATAGGGGTAATAATTAACAGCTCCTTGGGCTTGATGATCCTGCGGAGGGGCACTGCCAGGCGCAGAGCCTGAGCCGACCGCGCGCAGAGCCTCGAGCCGCCCCTCCTCCGCACTTGGCTCCGACTTCAGCGGCAGGTGAGTGAGCCCTGCCTTTTCCTGACAGTCGCAATTGGTAATTGTGTGACGGAGCGCGGGGAAACAGACTCTCCGGAGCAAGTTCAGCTCAGTAACTCAGGTACAAAGGCTTCTCCTGGTCCCAGTGAGAATCACAGGTGAAAAATGGGGGTAGGGAAAAGAACCCCTTTCATCCACCCCCTGAGGTCAGGTTGAGGACAAGTTATTAGAAAGCAGAGTTCATGGGCAGCCAACTTGAATGTGTGCAGCCTGAAACCCGGACATGGCTTTTCCTTTTGATGGTTTTCGGAATACCCATTCCTGACCAAGGTAAGCATGTGGGGAGGAGGGAAGGGCTTGGAGGTAAGTCTGGCCACCGAAGCCCTTCTCTCCCTTTCCTCAAGGGAAATAGCGCAATGACCGCTTTATCTGAAATTGCACTTACCCTCACCAAGATACTAGCTCCTGCGTGACAGCCCCTTTTTCTTGAATCAGCGGGCTTGAAAGTACTTTTAAGTGAGGGTTCTGCTAAACTTTTATTTATTTCCACAAAGCTACAGAGGCATATCCCCCTAAAAATTGAAGAGGATTTCTGATATTATTTAACACTTCACCAAACAATGAATGACTATAAATAATTAAATGGGAGTCCATGAGTTAAGGATACCAGTTCTGAAGCACGAGAGCCCTAAGTTCAAATCCTGGCTTTGCCACTTACTGGTGTGTCCCTTAGCAAGTTACTTCACCTAAGCGAGACTCAGTTGGCATACCAAGAATGCCAATGGGGCTTTGATAGGAATTAAAGACTTATAGCAAGAATTCTATAAGTGGTACCTCCAGTTAGCATTAAGAAATAAGCTCCACCAAAAGGGCCAGATCAGAGAGGGTGAGCTAAGCTGAGGAGACCAGACCAGACCATGTGAAGGTGGTAAAGGTAGACTGGTTTCCGGAAAGTGGGTCTAGGATGTGAGCAGATGGCAAATGGGCAAAACATTACCTCTATGAATGGCAGTGAAATTATCTGGCTTCTTGCTACTTTTTGAACAGAGTACATAAAGTGACAAATGCAAAATTGTTACTCAATCACTTTTACTTTGGAAAAGTCACATTCATATTAACCTGTTATTTCTAAACAGAAAATATAATTTTGTAGTAGGAGAGTTACACATAACCCCGTATTGTGGAATGCATGACATTTAGTTTTATAAGACAGATGGCCCTTGAACAACTTTGATAAAATAGACCATGTAGTCCATGACCCTGTATTGTTTGTGTTGAAGTGTTACAGACTTTCATTTGTGTTTATGGACAAGAAACATACAAGAATGATACCTGTGTTTTGTTGGTCTTCCCTCTGAACTTAAAGTATAGGGAAGTGACCTTACTTTATGAAACTTTATTTAAAGGGCCCTTTTGTTAATGTTGCTGTTAGTTTTATTAATGTTGATAAATTTGAGGAGGGGACAAACTTAGAAGTTTCGACTAGCAAAGTATTTTCATTGACAACATTTTATCTTTTCATGTCATTAATATATATTTAAATGGTTTACAGTTGATCCTAGCTTAATATCATCATTGTTTTAGTGGATTCTTATTTCAAACTGCAGATTTGAAATTCTCCAATGTACTTATAATTGGATATTGACTAGATATTTGTGGATAGAATTCTAAAGCCAACCAAACTGAACTTTACTATGTTATTGTCCTATGGGGTTTTATTGTGTTTAGTGTTTATAGTTAAAAATTTATAAAATAATCTCATCCATTTAGAATAAATTACAGTATCAGTAGTCACTAACTGTTTTTCAAAGACAAAATATTCCTTTATGCTGAACAGATATGGCTGGAACTTCTTACACCAAGTTATATAATACTTCTTAATGGTGTATGTCTGCACCACAAACAGTAGCCCCAATTGAGATAAATCTACTTAACTATATTTGAGATTAACTTGAGATTAATTTATCTAACCACATAAATGTGTTAAGTCTTTGTAGTTAAATTCTCTTTTAGCATACATATATTTCTCTACTATTTCTAATGCGTGTACGTTTTATGATCAACTATTAAATGCTTTGGTCCATCGAGAGAGAGATAACCAGCAATGATTAAGAAAAAATTAATTTTCCCAATTATATTGGAAATAGTGTAACACATATGTAACATGTTTTTTAAATATGTAATCCAAAGTTTCATGTTTGATATTTGTTTTAACTTTTAACTTCCTAATTAAGAAGCATCCTATACTTTTCATTGAAATAGAAATCTAATGCTAACCATCAATTCACTTGTACAGATTCATTGAAGATGGGGAATTTGGGATTATTAGAGATACATGGGCTTCCTATAAAAGTTTGATTTTTATCTTGCCATTTGCAATGACATGGATAGAGCTAGAGAGTATTATGCTAAATAAAATAAGTCAGTCTGAGAAAGACAAATACCATATGATTTCCCTCATGTGTGGAATTTAAGAAACAAAACAAACAAAGGAGGGGGAGAGAGAGAGAGGCAAACCAAGAAACAGATTCTTAGCTATAGAGAACTGATGGTTACCAGAGGGGAGGTGGGTGAGGGGATGGGTTAACTAGGTGATAGGGATTAAGGAGTGCACTTGCTGTGATGAGCGTGGGGTATTGTATGGAAATGTTCAGTCACTATATTGTACACCTGAAACTAATATTACACCATATATTAACTATGCTGGAATTAAATATTTGTTTTAAAAGTTTAGATTTTTAAAAAATTTTTAAATGTAAGTCAATCAGAAATACAACCTCTGAGAAGGAATTTCTGCGTATTCTCTCTTTGTCCTGAAGTCTAGTGTTAGAGAGGGTTAGGTTTTGTTGCAGAAATCCATCTATGTCTTTCAAAGCTATCAGATATAATGATTTCATCACTTCATAACCTCAGTTCAAGTAGCGGACTAATGCTACTGCTTTCAGTAGTTGAATGTGAAGGTGTCTCCTTTTTAAGTGATGACAGTGCAATCTTAGTCGCCGGGATGACTGAAGGACCAATTCTCTGTCATCATCCCAGAGTCTGGCAAATGGGGCTCAAAAGCAGAAAGTGTTCCCTCTGCAGCCAACACACGAGAAGAATGATTCACAGTCCCTGGGAAGTCAAGCTGAGAATTTCCTCTTGGAAACTAGATGAAGCAGAGAATCCTTGGGCTAGACCACAGCAGCAGTTCCAGAAGATGCCTTTGGCAGACTGAGCAGCTCCCTCCCAGACTGAGTGGTGGCCAGATGCCTCGAGTCCTGAGGTGGCTGCAAGCTCGAGTGCTTCTGCTACGGCTTCTGTCCCCTGAGGACGCTCTGGGGAGAATCCAGCCACTGCGTTAGTGCCCTGTCAATACGCACTAGAATAGCAAAGGGTGACATTTCACATGGGGTTCCACTAGGACTGGCGGGAGTGACATGTCTGGGTGTTTGAGCCACATCCTGTTCGGTCCTGTCTTAAAGTCAAGCACTGTAAGACATTTTTATTTGCATCTCAAAACAAACATTTCCCAATTGCAACACATATCACTTAATAAAGTGGTAGTTTTTATACGCCGGTTTCCCACTTTTACCATCTTTGTGAATGAGGCAAATTTTTTAGAAAAATGTGGAGCCAGAGGTTTCCCAGAAACCACACTTCTCTGGATTCTTTTCCTGTTTTACTAATGGATAATGGATAGAATTACCGATTTTTTTTTTTCTCATTTCCTTGAAGTCATATAATTGTATATAGATCTGCTCTTCTCAACTTCAAGGTTCCTGGTCAGAGCTTAGAGGAAACATCTCTATTTTGGAACTGAATACATGTTTGTAACTTTCCATTGCTTCTTCAGGCCAAAACAATATTAAAAAAAAAAAACTCCACGTGTACAGCCCTGAATATAATCTTACTTCATAATTTAAATACACATTTGCTATTCCAATGTGTTATTTTCCATTCTTTATTTTTTTAGTAACCTTTATGGTTTGTGTTATGTAAGATGTATTCGTCGTGTATGATTTAGAAAGAACATATGAAATCAAGAAGAAGATAATTATCACTCATAATTTCATGGCTTGCAGTTTTATGGTTAATATTTTAATATATCTCTCTATATGTTGAATATATTCATTCTTTTACATATGTTTTTCCCTATATACTTGCATCCATACACTCACTCTGGGAGATACAGAAATGAAACAAACCATAATCCTACTCGAGAGGAACAGTTAAATTCAGTAAAGTAAAATATAGTCAGAGAGAGAAAGCAGCAAATCATGAGAAATGAGGAAGCCGCAGATGTTTCACTGGGAAAGTTCAGAGGCAGGATTGGATATTGACTATATATATAATATATATATATAATTCCACAGTAATGTTTTGGGATCTTTAATGATACCTGAGCTATTTTCTTATAAATACAAATAGGGAGTTAACCAGAAATCTCTAAAATGGGAATGAGCTTAGGGAGTGACTGAAAACCAGCAAAAATCCCCAGCATAGATGGAATGTAATCCATGGGGAAAATAAGGGAATGAATACTCAAGAGATTGATGGGATTTTGTGGGTCATCATAAGGAGGCTATATTTTATTCTAGTTCATTCTTGGAAGTCATTGCAAGTGTTTAATCATGGGTTGATGATGTTTGTTCAGTCTTTAAATTCATCACCTTAGATGCTGTGTGTGCAATAGAATACTAGTCACAACGTGGATGCTGGAAAACTAGTCATGAGGCTGCTGGAGAAATCCAGGAGAAAGATGACGATGATGGCTTGTCTCAGGGTGGTAGCATTGGAAATAAAAGCTTTTGAGGTTCAGGTGACATATTGGAGGTACAGTCAGTAAGATTTACTTTTGGATTGGAATCTGGTTATAATGAAAGAGGAAAAAATAAAACTGAGTCTTAGTTATGGTGCCTAATTGAGTAAATGGGAAAGAATTGTGGAGGAGGGAATTCTGGAAACAGAAGACAGTTTGTGGCCATGTCTTGGCCATGTTGATTGACATGGAGATGCCTGCTAGACGTTCAAGTAGAGACTAAGTAGATATCGACATGAGTCTGGGAGTCTGGAGCTCAGCAGAGAGATTGGACTAGAGATGGATTCAATCACCTGGGAGAAAGTGCAAACACGGAAGAGGACATAGCTGAGGATGGACTAGTAGAACAAGCCAGCATTCCATGATTGTTCAGAGGATTCCAGAGAGGAAACTAAAATGTTGAGACCTGTGAAACAGCAACAAAACAAAACAAAACAAAACAAGGCAAGGTTGTTGCGGTTACTGCTTTGTCTGAAAACCTCAAGAAAAGAAAGGGTTTCAAACGCAGGAAACAATCAACCTTGTCAAATGCTGCTAGGAGGCCCAGAAAATGAGGAAGGAAAATGAACCATTTGGCAAGACATAGGCCACTGGAATGTGGGAGGGAGGTGCAGGGAGGGGCAAATTAAAAGGATAGATGGTAAATAATTAGGATCCAGGAGAAGGTAGTGTTTGGACAATGAGGTCACCACTGGGGGATTCTCACTAGGGGGCAACAATAACCCTTTTTGTGGGTGATTAGAATGACAAAGTCTAGGGGCAAAACTCTGGTTTTAGAAGCAAGAGCAAGGGCTGTAGAACCAAACAGCCCAGACCAAATCCTATGAATGAGTAACTGGGATTGGTTGGACTCATGGAACATGCAACGCTTTTGTCCCAAGGCAGCCTAAAATACCCATGTGACTTCTGTCCTACACAGAGTTAATCTGCCTGGTTGGCTAAGCTCCTGTCCCTTCCAGCATGAGTCCTCCTTGAGACCCCCTTCCAATGATGAGCTATCAAAGAGGATATATGCCCAACTAGAGGAGCACCAGTCTTTGAGCAAGAAGATATGAGTAGAAAAAGAAGTAAGGTATAAATCAAGAATGGCAGTATAAGGTGGAAAGCAGAAAATGGCATCACAGCAGGTGCAGATAATAGGCTATGGGGAGACTTGATAAGGTCCCACTTGAGCAGAGACGAGGAAGAAGCAGAAATCTGGACCTCAGCCTCTGGTGACAGGGGCCCTCTCGTGTGAGGTAACTAACTGGTGAGAAGAGACTCAATGGTTTGAGATCCATTAGATTAGTAGGCCTGGTATTTGAGAAAAGCTTCAATTTTCAGGTTGGAAAAGTAAGTGTTGGTGGAATTGCAGAAAACCTGAATGTCAGGTTGGGAGACTTGGATGGTATTTGCTAAGAATGAGATCCCAGGAAGGTTTGTGAACAAGCAGGTGATGTGATGGTCAGAATGCTAAAAGCATAGAGGGAAATTAGCCAAGCACTCGGCTTAGAGACTATTACAATCTGCCGGGCCAGATGTGCTCATAGCTTTCAAATAGATTATATAGTTCCAAATAACGTGCTATAAGAAGACTGTGCATCAGGGTTTTTGTGAAAATAGCTTTCCTTTCTTTTTCCTTTTTCCTTCCTTTGGGTGATGGGGTGGGGGAGGATTGCTATTCTCCTGGAGAAAGAGGACATGCAATGCCTTCTAAACACCTTACTCGAACCAAACTAAGCTAATTTGGAAGTAAAAGGAGGAAGTCCCTCCCCTTCTTTTTTTTAATAAAAAATTAAACATTTCTCTCTAGCCCAACTTTTTATCCTGGTGATATCCTCTATGATTCTGTAGGCTTGAAGCAATAGTAATTAAATATTTAATTCGGCAAAACGGAATGACTAGAAAATATTACACTTAAAATCTCTGGTCACACCCTAATGCCATTTAGATGAAGACATAAAGGAGGATGTTATTCATGTCTGACCATGGTTTCCAGAGCCCGAAGGAGACTTGAAGGATGTTACGTCACACTTAACCAACACTTGCGAGTCAGAGCTTGATTTTAGCTGCCTGGAAACTTAAAATTGTGTTTGCAGGCCTGGGGCAGGGTTCAGCCATGTGTTTGGGACGAGTGGCTGCAAAAGAAGAAATGTCTTCCTTTGCACAGACTCATATAGGCGAGAACTCGTTCTAGAAATACTGTAAAAACAGACTTACCAAATTGGGCAATCCTTCCTTGCCTTGGGACAGTGATTCTGGAGTTTTTTGGTTTGCATAGTACATTTTCCTCTTTTCTGCACATCTCCAAACGTTGCCCTAGGATTTCTTCTCTACTTTAGCTATCTTGTATTCCCACGTTGACAAAACATTTCAATGATTATAAAATGTCTTTTTTGGGGATTGTAGAAGCCTTTGGGAATTTAATATCTTCTTAAAGAAAATAACACTGAACTGCTAAGGAAGCAGAAGTTTAAAACTGACTGAAAATTTTTTTCACAAGTCTCTGGAAATTTTCTTTAAAAATATGATAACAGCAAGACATCTAATACTTTTTCATCAATTTCTGGAAATTTTACTATAAAATATAAAACCAGCAAGGCTTCAGAAATATCATTCCAAGCCAGGCAAAGTTCCTTATACAGTTTCTCCTTTTTTCCCCCTCCTTTTTATACTTCTCAATAAAAAGTAACCTTTGCACCAAGAAACAGCACTTTCAAACATCCTGAGCACATCTGTGCATTTATAGAAAGATAGAACAGGAAGATAACTTCTGCATCACTAAAACCTGGTAGTATCAGAACTGTGGATAAATGGAAAAATGAAAAAAAAATCCCTAGAGTGATTCCAAATCAAATACTAAAAATTCAGAAATAGGATTTCCAATAGGAGTTATGCCAAATTTAGCCATATTGGATACATTCATTACCAAAAGCGTAGCTAATACAGCCACCAACTGGAAAGTGATTTTCAGCACAATTTTGATCCAGGGTTTCACTTACAAATTTGCAAATCATTTGCATTTATCATGGGCCAGCATTGTGGTTTGTATCGTACTTTCTTAGAAATATCACCCTATCCTGTCTGCCTTTCTCTCTCCCTATCTCTCTATTGCATAGCTGTCCGCCTCCCAAATTCATTACCAAGGGGAAGACCGTATGTCAAGTTATATATTTCTGGTTCATTTAGTATTTTTTCATATGCCCTCTTTATGCCCATTTTTCTTTAGAGATTGTTTTAATTAAATTTTATGTTCCTCTTCTATTACTACTTATTTTCCCTAAATTATGTGAAGAATATAATTTTCAATTTTAAATGGGAAGTATATCATGAGAAATAAAATGGATTTTTCTCAAAAGCATATATCGAGTAAGAAAAACAGAGGAAAACACCTAAACCTCTGAAAACTTATATGGGGGGAGTGGGGGCGAGAACAAAGAATACATTGTTACTTGTTCTCAAACAAGTCACTTTGTGAACAATTATGAAACGAAGGTTTAGAGGCTGCCATTTGGAAACTCACTCAAAGCAAGTTGTAGTTACAACTCTGAACTCTGACCTTCGTTTCTTACCATTGAACGTTTTGGAGGGCATCTCACTTAATCCTCATTTTATTTCCCTTAGATACAGAAAAAGCCTTTGAAAAGAATCTTAGGACAGACCAACTGATAGGAAATCAAAGATTTTAATCTGTATAACCTTTCTGAAATGCAAAAACAATGTTGGTGAAAAGCAAAAAGTAGAGGTCTTAAGACATTTAGACTTCGCCTCGAATGATCTGTCCCATTACTTACAAAGTGTCAGAAATACAGGTAAGAATACCCACACCTTGCTGGGATGGTCTGAGGATTAAATACGATAACATCTATAAAGTGGCTCACATACAGAGTATAAGATATGGCACGTGGGAAGAAAAAAAAGGGAGAGAGAAGGCTCTTTCCTTCCCTTCCCTCCCCAACCCAACCCTCATGCCCATGTATGAAACACTACTTAAAAATTTTCCTGAAATATGTTTACATGCTAGGGACATGACAAAGCACTTCAATTTAAGTCAGACTCATTTCTGAATGCATCACGGGAATATACCAGTAATATTATTCTAATGTCTTAGGGTATCCTCAGATGACCTCAGAAAAGGGGAAATGAGGACTGTGATGGCTCACCAGCACTCTTCGTGGATCTTCGTTAATGAGAGGACATTCATTACCGGGTAATTATATGCCTGTATTACGTGTTATGCTGCTCCATCGTCATTTGTAGATTCTGCCCCCACACCATGTCATTCCGAGCATGATATATGACCCAAAAATCAATAATATGAATCAACGGTGGAGACATTGAATAGGAATTTGAATAAATATAGTTAAAGATGCTAACCCATAACCTCTCATGGAACAATCACTCGTATGTCCTAAATAGTGGTCTGATTTCACTAAATGCTAAATTTCTATTTTCATAGTTGGCAGAATTCTCAGGAACAACCTCAAGCAGACACCTCAGGCTCCTCATAAATGATACAGCCAAAGGATTAGTCCGGGGGCCGCAAACAGGGTTTTCTCTCCTCTTGTCTCCCTCCCTCGTTCCTCAGGACACACTGCATTTTCCCTGTGTCCCTCTTGATGTTAGGTTATGCAACACACGGGACATCCACAGTTGTTTTCTTGCAGCAAATAGCATCTTATTATATTGGTTAGGGAACAACAGAGCAGGGACTTGAAAGCTCTAAGAGTAAAAGCTAAGGACTGAGTTGGCTAAGCTGGAGCAGAAGCGGATGAGGAGAAAGACGACATAGTAAGAAAAAAGAAACCAAGGGGTCCTGGAACAGGACCCATGTCTCACCAGGAAGAGGAACAAAGCCAAACAAATGACAGAGGGAAATGGATGTAAATGATGCCGGATTGGGCCATAGGAAAGCAGAGAGAACAACTGTGGTCCAAAATGGAATTAGAGTCACACCTGGAGGATACATATGACTTACACGAGGTGAGAAGAAGAGTAAAGTAGAAGACAGTGGATCCATCTATTCATTCCTCAAGTACTTATTAACTGCTCCCTGTGGACAGGGATTCTTCTGGATCCTGAGCATTCAACAATGAGCCCAACAAAACCCTTAGCCTCATGGGGTTACCTCCTAAAAGGGGGATACAGTGACTGTGTAAGATAAATGAGTAACAATATATATAATTAGATGCCGAAAGGTATGAAGAATAAAAATAAAGCAGAAAGGGAATAATGAGGGCTCGGGGAGGACAGCAGGGAGTCATGATGTCCTTCCAGATGGCCCGAGAAGGCCTCAGTGGGGAGGTAGCATTAGAAGAAAAGTCTGGAGGAGGTGAATGAGCAGGCTGCGCAGGTATTCTGGCTGGGAGCAAAGGGGACAGCAGGGTCACAGCCCTGAGGCAGGTGCGTGCCTCGAAGAGTGGAGGAAGCCAGTGTGGGGAAACGAAGCAGGAAGGAAAGCAGAAGCTGAGGTTCCTGACATCATGGCCAGAGTGTGCAGGATCTCACAGGCCGTTGTGAGACTCCCGCTTGCCCACTTATGACAGCAGAAGCCACTGAAGGATACCGAGCACATGAGTGCCTGGGTCAGTCTGGCTGTCGTGTTAGGAGCAGGCTGAAGGGGGGACAAGGATGAAGCCGAGAAGTTATCAAGGAGCTGATAGTTCAGGGTCGAGATGATGGTGCTTTGGGCCTAGGGGGCAGTATTGGAGGTTAAAAGGAAAAGGTCAGATTCTGCATATATTTTGACGGAAGAAACAATGAAACCACATTTTGGTGGGGGAGGGGGAGGGTCTGAGACTCTAGTGACCCTTATTTTGTGTCATATTTTGAATTGACCAAATTGAGGACTGATCGTTTACCTTCTGTAACCCAGAGCGCCTTTCAGGCCCCGGTATCCACTTATTAATGGGAGCTCCAGGTGGTAAAATAAAATATTGTAACACTTACACAAACACCAGACTTAAAGATAGCATTTCTCAAAATGGGGTCCATGGGCCATCCACCCCCCAATCAGACAATTTGGTAACACTGCAGATCCTGGGTCCTTCTGATGCATACTCCAGTCTAAGAACCACTGCCAGGAGGAGGAAGGGATTAACGTTTGAGAACTTCTGACCACCTGAAATAAACAAAAGCCAGGGGAAATTATAAAGAGTTGTCAGTTGTCAGAAATTATAAGAATACCACTGACCACCTGTGATATCCAACGTGTCACAAATCTACCGAACACTTCCAATCATTTATTCTCTGGACAGGGAGTCATTCAGGTCCCACTCCATACTAGGTGAACGAGACAGAAATTACAAGCTTATGAAGGGATTTTTGTTTCCCTGCACAGAAATACATGAAAAATAATGGAAATTACTAGGAAAATAGAACCCGCTTAACGGAAATTTTGGCTTCAGCAAATTTCTTGAGAGCTACATATGATCAATAAAATAAGAGGTCGTGATATTAATAGTGTAGCAGCAATATAACATTTATGTCTCACTGCTGAATGAGAATTCTCTGAGTTTAGAAATTTCCCTGGGTGAAGGGTGTTGGCAGAAGTCAGCTTCATGCTCAAATGACTAAGTTTCCAACTGCCGTTTCACTGCCTGGGGTCATCACTGCTCTGGTGCGACACATGGTAAATATTCTAAGTGAGCTGAGTTTAAAAAAATGGTTCCATCTGGTTGCTTTCAAAGTACTTTCACTTCAGGTCCTAGGCTGAAATCAGGGCACTTTAGAGGTGAGCAAATGCCAACCGTGTACTTGAAAAAGGTTCAAATCCGGTTTGAGAATGCAGATCAGATTTCATTCTCGGAATGGTAACTTTTTCTCCTACTTGGGAATCTAACACAGACCCTTGCAGTGGCAGACCACCAGGCATGTGTGCGTTCCCAGCCTCAGTAAATAGCTTTAATTAGCATGATGTAATAACGTTTAGCCGAAAGTGCATTATTCCAAACAGTGTCTTTTTCCAAGCATGTTGCCCAGGCACCCTTTGCTGAAACAAAGGAATCAGCCACCTGCACCTCTGAGCACAAATTCAGCACAAAGAGCCAGTGTTCTAGAAGCTGCTCTTACCTGGCCAGGAGAGCCAGAGGTCAATGTTTGCCCAGTTTCCACGGCCAGGGTCTTCTCTCGATCAGAGGAACTGGAGCAAACACTGCGTGCCCCAGCGTGCTCTGCAGGTAGGCTTAGGAAGAGGGCACCACTCTCCTGAAGTCCACTGGACTGTCTTTAACAAAGGATAAGAGAACCCTCCCTGATATATTTATTTTAAGGAGCCAGGATATTAAAATAAATCAGGGACCAAAAGTTCAAGACCTGTTGGGGACCATCTCCTTTAAACATGAGAAATTTTTTTCTATGTGAGGATTGTTTCCAAAAATTTATTTTAACATTTCCATTATTAGGTTTGATGACCTAATGAAAACAACAGGAATTTTCATTATGAAAATTGGATATCACATTAGTTACTATTTCAAAAAATGCTCAATAATGTCCCCCCCAGATACATGAAAAAGGTCATTTATTAAGCTTTCTTTATACAAATATTTTTCAATGAGCATTGACAGTCATGAAGCATACCAATATGACTGTTATTCCCAATAAAATTTACTTATTCCACATTTACCTATTTTATCACTTTGGTCAGCTAAAAAATAAGATCATCTATCTCTCCAAGATACACTGAAAATATTTCAATAGAAAATCTGATAAAATCAAAATTCAGAAATGAGAAATACATTAACTTATGGAATTTACTTGAATTTCTGGATATGTCAGTTGGTGACACTGGTAAAAGATTTTTTTTCCCTTCTAAAAATATGTCAGGGGGCACCTGGGTGGCTCAGTCCATTGAGCACCTAACTCTTGATTTCGGCTCAGGTTGTGATCTCAGGGTCGTGAGATCGAGCCCCACATCAGGCTCCACACTCAGCTCAGAGTCTGCTGCAGATTGTCTCTCTCTCCCTCTGCCCCATCCTCCTGCTTGCGCTCTCTCTCTCAAATAAATAAATAAATAAAATCTTAAAAAAAAATAGGTCAGGATTTAATTTTCTATATTTTCCTTCCCAAAACAATTGCTAAGAACATACCATGAGCCAGAAGTTGTACTAGAAATGAGTATGGAATTTTTTTTTTTTTTTTTTGCAAAAACAGAACAAGAGATGCCTGAAGCTACAGATTTCCAATTTGAGAACTTCACCAGAATCACCTGGAGGGCTTGTTACACGAAAGACGGCAGTGCCCCATTCCCAGATTGTGACTCAGTAGGTTTGGATTGGAGTGAGCATTCCCATGTCTTAAGTTCCCAGGTGGTGTAGGTTCTACTGGTCTGGGAATCACACTTTGAGAACCACAGGTCTGAAGGCTGATCACAAACTGAGCTAAGTGTTCAGAAGGAAAGAGGCCCTTTAGAGAACACGGACCTAGTCTAAGGAGGGTGCGTTCCCTGAGATCTGAACAAAGAGGGGGCAAACTAGTTTAAGAGAGTGAGCGGGAGAGCATTCCTGACATGGGGAGGCTGCTTGAAATCCTTATGGCCAGAGGGAGCTCAGAGTTCCAGCAAGTAAAAGTACCCAGTGTGGGTGAGGGACAGGACACAGAGAAAAGCATCTCTTAAAAGTATATTAGGCAAAGCAAATGCTACGGTGTGTTCTCTGTGCGCTGTATAGAGTGTGGCGTATATGGAGGATGCCCAGAAGAGAAACAAGGAGGTCACGTAATATATATCCTTTCTTTTTCTTTTCTTTTTTTTTAAGATTTTATTTATTTATTTGACAGAGAGAGAGAGAGCACAAGCAGGGGGAGCGGAGGCAGAGGGAGAGAGAGAAGCAGGCTCCCTGCTGAGCAGGGAGCCCGATGCAGGACTTGATTCTCAGACCCTGAGCCAAAGGCAGACGCTTAACGACTGAACCACCCAGGCGCCCCAATATATATCGTTTCAAATGTAAAGGAGAATCAATGGTCAGAGTCATGGCAGCGTCACAGAAGAGCGAGGAAAGCGCCTGTGTACCAGGAAAGCTCCTGTTGTGAGCTCCTGCTCAGGGACGTGGCCAGACACTCCGGTAGCAATCCCAATGGTCTAAGAGGCTGTTGATGAATTAACAGAATAGAGAGCTCATTTCCCCATCCCTAGGGAACAGGGGGCCTTGGACTCAGGAGGCAAGGTAGCCCTCCTCAGCAAGCACAAAAGCCTCGCGCTGTTCATACACAAAG